TACTCTTCACCGAATTTATTGATAAGTTTCAACTGTGCATTATTTTCAACATAGTCCGGGTGTTTACGAGCATATTCGATTAAATCTTTCACTTCTTTCATTTTATCAAAATCGATTGTGAGAATAATTTCTTTGAAAAGTTGTGTATACATGAATGAGGATTCGATTTCAGAACCGATTGGGACAGAATCTTCGTCACATTGTCGAGCAGATTGTCGAACTGCATCACAAATTGGAATAATTTCAGTGAAAATACCTTTTACTTTGGACCACTGTTTTGCCCATTCTTCATATTTTTCTTTTTTTTGACAGAATACATAAACTGAATAGAGTTGTGTCATATTATGAACGCGTGGCACAACAGTTTCACATAGTGCACCAGAAATAATAAGAAGTATTTTTTGGTTTTGAAATTGTAGCATATACTCGATACATTCATCAGTTTCGCAGAATGTTTCAATCTTATTAACGGTGCGTCGTAGCTGTTTGATTGAATAACCATAATCGTCTACTGATTCATCGATTTTTTCATCCAACCATACGAGAAGAAAATTTTGAACAAGTTCATTTAAAGGTACGACGATTCGACGACGATCTCGTTTTGGATTTTGATTTAAATCTAATTGTTGATTTAATGTAGTAGATGATGTTGGTAATAATGATGAACGTTCGTTGGGTAGATTATCTACTGGCATTGGCGAGGATGCTCCACAACCCATATTGATTGATTGTATGTGACGTAAATATAGATAATAAATATTAAAGAATGTTAATCTGAAATCACAAATGAATGAATGAAAATGCTAATCAAAGAGAATGAAAGCTTCTTGGTTTATTTTATCATCTATCAATGTTCTTTTATTTTTGTGCTTTTTTTTCGACATTGAGACATGTTACCTAGCGTTAATTTGAAAAAGACGAAGGAAGGAGGAGCATTGTTTTATATGATTGTAAATTTATTTTGTCTTATTTACACGGTTCCTTACCTATTAATCTATTATAATTTACTCTTACGTTTTAATCCATTACAATTTTATATATTGAAGATAAGTGATTTTCTCGAGATTCGAACATGAAATCTAAAATTTTGTTTGATTATTTGAAATGCTTGTGTTTACAAACTATACGATTACCATTGAATCAAAGTCATCCAAGTATAGTAAAATTAGAAGTCTTATATAAATTGTTTCAAAGAGAAATGGTGCAATTGCATTGGAAATCAATTAGAATAAAAAACTGGATTAAAATTGATGAGTCTTATCTTTTATACTTCGATTTCATGATGAGAGAAATACTAAGTTCGAATAATTTTTATGCGATTAAAGTAGTTTACAAAATATCTTGATGACTAATTTAGACATTGATCATCGTAGACTATGCTGAAAACCGGGTGTGTCGTTCTGACTTACACATGTAAAACAAAAAAAAACAAAGCCACAAGAAATTAAATTATATATACCAATGTTGGATTAAGTTGAATAATTTAATGAATTATAAGTGATTTCTACAAATGGTAATCAATTAAAAATCCAATCGATTATAATAGATTCTAAGAATAATCTATTAAAATTTGTTATCTACTTAATAGTCTAAATAATTAATAAAAAATTGAATCGATCAGAATAGATTGGATTTTTCACGAATTATTTCGATTATATACTGAACAACAGATTTTAATAGATTATTCATAGAATCTATTATGATCGATTGGTTTTTTGATAGACATTTCAACTTATTGCCAAACGAATCGGTTTTAAATGATCAACATCTGTAGAAATCACTTATAATTGATTAAATTATTCAGTTTAATCCGACATTGCAAATATAATCAATTCTTCTTGATTTTTCGAAGAATAATCAGTTTTATTCTAATTTATTGTGAGTTCTTTTTTTACATGAGATATTAATACTGATTAGATTTCTAATTGCTTACTTAGAGCTATTCGAAGGGAAACAAATTTCAATACATTATTCGCAATGAGCCTGATTCTAATAGATTGTTTTTAAAATCTATGAATATTAATTAGACTTCTAATCGATTATTGGTGAGGAAATCGTTTTTAATAGATTACTTAGGACATCTAAAAAAAAATTAGTTAGATATATAATCGGTTATTTAGAGTAATTTGAAAAATAATGGGTTTCGATAGATTTTTCGAGAATAGATTGATTACAATAGATTGTGCCTGAAATCTATTAGCATTGTATTTTCTCTTCTAATGAATCATTTCATTTGTTCATCACATAAACAATTAAGATAAATGACCGATACAATGAGAATATTGAAAATTTTATTATTTGCCCTTAGTATAAAAATTTTAGAAATAAGAAGTATAATGTGACTTTTCAAAGATTATGATAGTAAAGAAAAAACATTCGTTCGAATAGTAATGTTTTCTCTTTTTTATTTCTTTGATGAAATACAATTGTTAACATGATCCTTCTATCTAAAAGCTAACAAATTAGTAAAATTGAATTATGGACAATAGCATTCTTCAATAAGCATAATATGAGTATCATGTTCTTCGCTAGAATTCGACAGTTCTCAAAATTACTCGGAACCGAACTGGAATTGCTGGTTATGATTAGAAAAAATGAAAAAAATGCGATTCCTTCTTTGTTTCGTAAAATCTGTTCTAGAAACCGATCATTTTACGATTATATCAATAATATCAATCGAGTAATAGATTTCTTTTTTTTTCGCATTCTCATTTTTCAATTTTAAGATTGTTCATGTTTATTATTTCATTAGAAAAAAAAACTACTTCTCCAAATAGTTAAAAAAATGAAAAGATCAAGAAGGAAAATACTTTCATACAATATGCAGGTATGAAACTATCAATATGAATAGTCCAAAACAAAATTCGACTTCCTCATTTTCTTTATTTTCTTCAGGATAATCTATAGTACGAACACAATCATCTCTGTCACTCATTTTTAAATTTCTTTGTGGTTGTTGTAGTAGTAGATTGTTCTTCAATTCTATAGCAGATCGTAGAAGGAAGATAGTTGCGCGATAAGTTTTCTATTTATTTCAGTTGTGGGTGAATCCGTGGAATTAGAGGTAACAGAAAAAAAAACTCTTTTGACAAGTGAACTTTGGAGATCCATATCATTCTCTAGGAATAACTCAATGTATTTGTAATAATTAGATATGTTAAAGATCTGAACTAGTTTAGCATATGATTTATTCTTCGACGTTTGATAGAGCTTATAATGTTAGACATTTTTCAAGTAAATATACCTCCGAACAGTTTTTATTTTACTAGAAATAGATTCAGAACATTTTAAACAATGAACAAACCTAAACTTTGAAAAAAAATGCTTCTTTTCTTTTTCAAAATTTCGACAAAGTGCTGTTTAGTTCGATTCACCATTTATGATATTTTGAATCTATTTCCAACAAAATAAAAAGAATTTCGAAATAAACATGTTTATCAAAACATCAGAAATTAAAAGCTCTACAAACATTGAAGATTTCACCCGATTTTCTAATGTAGTTGAGGTCGTCAACATATTCAATAATAAATACATTGAGTTGTATCTAAAAGCAAAAGGATATAAATTTCAAGGTTTATTTCCCGAAAAATGCTTTTATCATTATCATTAATTGTTATCAATGATGTTACGTTAAACTAGAATGTCAAAATTTTAAAAAATCAACATTCTTTTCCATCCACACCAGTATAAAAACAACACAATGTACTACTATAGCGATCATGAACATTTTTGACTGAAAATGATGCTGGATTTGAAGAGTTTCTTAGTAACTATTAAAACAATTTTCGATTCTGAGTTATAGAAATTGAAAAAATCGAGTATCGGTTCTATTTTGCTGCAAGTACAGGATTCTATTCTTCGCCTACATTCAAATGGTCGTCCTTGTGACAGGAGAACGAAAGAAAGAAAGAGTTGTAAAGAACTTCGTTAGTTTTCTTAGAGAGACACAAAGATTTTTTTTTGTTCTTTCTATTAATACCTATTTTTCTTGAATTGCTATGAGAATATGCTTTGTTTCCTATTGAAAGATTTCTAATCGTACATTGCAAAAGTATTCGTGAGAAAAGTCCACATAAAAAAACACTGAGGAAACAAATGCATTATCGTTGTTGAAGAAAGAAGAATCGAAAAAAATAGAATCACAATAGAGTGAATATTATTGCTGTCTGTTTTTTTTCCAACATAATAATCTGTTTGAGCAACTAGAGAGACCATGTGTTTGAAATTGATAAGACTTCAAAAGCAAACAAAATCTTTCTGTTTCTTTTTCAAGACATTTGTTAAAACGAATAATAAATAATGGTTTATTTTAGAGTTTTAAATTATATTTAGCATCGATTGACTCATAATCTCGTTTATGAACATCAAATTGTTCAAATTAAAACAGTGAACAAGAGTTGAAAATAAGATATCAGAGATTTTAATCCTATTTAGTATTGATCTACTCACAATGTCAATACGGATATAGAGAACAAGTTGTAAATGAATTAAAATCAATGGGTATTAATAATATACGCTCTCACCCACTATGGTCGCCGTTTCATTCGAAGATGATACCGATGTATAGAACATAAAATTGTCCATTCATGAAACTTCACTCTGATCCAATTTCTTCAATCAATCTTAAACAAAAGAATCAAACATCATTTTTATGAGTTCACTTTCACCCAGATCCTCACAGATGGGTGTGTATGTAAGTAGATGTGGACTGTGGATGAGTGTGGAGTAGGTTTCGAGTTTCTGTAGGGTCTAGATATGGGTGTAGATGTGAGAGTTGGATGTGGGCTAGGCATGGCAATGAGTGTTTATGTGAGTGTGGATGGAGAGACGACCTACATTCACACAGACATATGCATCCCGTTCTCATGTTCAGCTCATGCCCACTGCTATACACATACTCACAACCACTACACATACACCGAACATTCACACCTAAATACTATTCCACACGCACATCTACCACGTCCACCCACATCCAGTATCATAGGATGTAAGTGTCGGTATGCGTTGGGTGTGTACTGAAAAACAGATGTGTTACCCAATCATTTTGAAACGAAGTCTAAACCCTCGAAAAGGTTTCGCAAAAGCCTTTCACAGCTTCGAAAAATTTCAATAATATTGTGCAAAAGGCAGAAATATTGCAAGTAAAGAATTGTTCGTCTTCTTCGTTAAATAGAGATTGTTGTATTTTGTTCTGTTGCTTGGTAAGTTGTTAGATATGCGAGTGTCTTTTGTTTGCTAGTAAACGAAAGATTATTTTTATCATTCATTTTTAAGTGTGTTTGTGCAAACAAATGCGAGTCTGCGTCAAAGAACAACGATAACGAACGAAACAAATGCATCATCATCGTTCGAACGCAATAGTATCTATAATAACAACTCGCACTCTTTCCATGAATGAGAGATGTGCACAGTCATAATAAGGTGATACAAGAAAAAAAAATTGTTACAATATAATCACATGTTTTTAAAGGCACAAAAAAGCGAATCTATAGTAAAGATTTTCAGAAAGATTAATGATTTCATGATTTTAAATTCAAGAAAACAGTGAATGAATGATGGTCGAAGTATATACTGAGAAATTTTTCATTTTCAATTCTGCCAGAATATAGTCTCCAAAAAGAATATTTACATTATCAATAATTACTTTTTGAAAATCTATCAAGAAAAATTGACTAATCTGAAAAACAAGCATTCTGTACGGTCACTGTGTGGATAT